TTACCAAAGAAAAAGTAGACCCGACCAGGGAAAAACTAGACCCGACCACGGGAAACACTAGACCCGACTACGGGAAAACTAGACCCGACCAAAGGAAAAACAAGACCTGACCAAAGGAACAACTAAACCGGACCAAAGGAAAAACTAGACCCGACAAGGGGAAAATTAGACCCGACCAGGAAAAAGTAGATCCGACCAAAGGAAAAACTATACCCGACCATGGGAAAACTAGACCCGACCACAGGGAAAACTAAACCCGACCAGGGGAAAATTAGACCCGACCAGGGGAAAACTAGACCCGACCAGGTAAAAACTAAGCCGGACCACAGCGAGAATTATACCCGACCAGGGAAAAACTAGACCCGACCACAGAAAAACTAGACCCGACCAAAGGAGAAACTAGACCCGACCAAAGGAAAAACTAGACCCGACCAATGGAAAATTAGATCCGACAAGGGAAGAACTAGACCCGACCACAGGGAAAACTAGACCCGACCAGGGGAAAAAACCCGACCCGACCAAAAGAATAATTAGACCCGACCAGGGGAAAACTAGACCCGACCAGGGAAAATTAGACCCGACCAGGGCAAAACTAGACCCGACCAAAGGAAAAACTAGACCCGACCAGGGGGAAACTAGACCCGACCAGCGAACAATTAGACCCGACCAAGGAAAAATTATACCCGGTCAATTGAAAAACTCGACCCGACCAGGGGAAAACTAGACCCGACCAGGGAAAAACTAGACCCGACCAGGGAAAAACTAGACCCGACCAAGGGAAAAACTAGACCCGACCACGGGAAAATTAGACCCGACCAGGGAATAATTAGACCCGACTAGAAAAAATTAGACCAGACCAGGAAAAACTAAGCCCGACCAGGGGATATTAGACCCGATCAAAGGAAAACCAGGCCCGACCAGGGAAGAAGTATACCTGAGCAAAGGAGAAATTAGACCCGACCAAGGGAAAACTGGACCCGACCAAGGGAAAACTAGACCCGACCAAGGAAAAACTAAACCCGACCACAGGAAAGACTAAACCCGACCAGGGGAAAACTAGACCCGACCACAGGAACAATTAGATTCGACCAGGGGAAAACTAGACCCGACCAAGGAAAAACTAGACCCGACCAGAGGAAAACTGGACCCGACCAGGGAAAAATTATACCCGACCAATGAAAAATTAGACCGGACCAAAGGAAAGACTAAACCCGACGAGGGGAAAACTAGACCCGACCAAAGGAAAATTAGGCCCGACCAAGGAAATACTAGACCCGACCAAAGGAAAAACTAGACCCGACCAGGGGAAAACTATACCCGGCCAGGGAAAAACTAAACCCGACAAGGGAAAAATTAGACCCGACCACAGGGAAAACTAGATCCGACCAAGGGAAAACTAGACCCGACCAGGGAAAAACTATACCCGACCATAGAAAAACTACACCCGACCAAAGGAAAAACTGGACCCGACCAGGGGGAAACTAGACCCGACCAGAGAAAAACTAGACACGACCAAAGGAAAAACTAGACCGGAGCAAAGGAAAAACTAGACCCGACCAGGGGGAAACTAGACCCGACCAAAGGAAAATTAGGCCCGACCAAGGAAAAATTAGACCCGATCAATTGAAAAACTCGACCCGACCAGGGGAAAACTAGACCCGACCACGGAAAAACTAGACCCGACCAGAGAAAAACTAGACCCTACCAAGGGAAAAACTAGACCCGACCACGGGAAAATTAGACCCGACCAGGGAATAATTAGACCCGACTAGAAAAAAATTAGACCAGACCAGGAAAAACTAAGCCCGACCAGGGGATATTAGACCCGATCAAAGGAAAACCAGGCCCGACCAGGGAAGAAGTATACCTGAGCAAAGGAGAAATTAGACCCGACCAGGGGAAAACTGGACCCGACCAAGGGAAAACTAAACCCGACCAAGGAAAAACTAGACCCGACCACAGGAAAGACTAAACCCGACCAGGGGAAAACTAGACCCGACCACAGGAACAATTAGATTCGACCAGGGGAAAACTAGACCCGACCAGGGAAAAACTAGACCCGACCAGAGAAAAACTGGACCCGACCAGGGAAAAATCAGACCCGACCAGTGAAAAATTAGCTCGGACCAAAGGAAAGACTAGACCCGACCAAAGGAAAATTAGGCCCGACCAAGGAAATACTAGACCCGACCAAAAGAAAAACTAGACCCGACCAGGGGAAAACTATACCCGGCCAGGGAAAAACTAAACCCGACAAGGGAAAAACTAAACCCGACCACAGGGAAAACTAGATCCGACCAAGGGAAAACTAGACCCGACCAGGGAAAAACTAGACCCGACCAGAGAAAAACTACACCCGACCAAAGGAAAAACTGGACCCGACCAGGGGGAAACTAGACCCGACCAGAGAAAAACTAGACACGACCAAAGGAAAAACTAGACCGGAGCAAAGGAAAAACTAGACCCGACCAGGTGTAAACGCTTGAGGGGGGCCGGTCGAGATTTGGAGGGTTCGATTGGGGCAGAGCGTGCAAAAATATTACATTTCCTTTGGGGGAGGCCCGTCTGTCCGCCGCCCATTTTGGCTCCAAGAAGGCGCGGCTCCCCTCGGAATCCTGCCGCGCAACTGTTTAAGTGCTGTCGCCATGGCGTTGGTGCTCCACCTCCGCGCACAACAGCTGCAGCCTTCCCGAGAGTGGGCGCGAGCGCGCAGCACGTGTTCCAGGCGCATTGACTTGCCCTTCGCCATGGATGCGTGGCTCCGCCGCGGCACCGCTCTCTCTGGCGTCTCCGCTGCCTCTGGCGCGTCCGCTGCCTCCGGCGCGTCCGCTGCCTCTGACGCCGACGACGCGATGCCGACCGTGCGTTTCAGCCTCACCTACGCCGCGCACGGCATGTCGCGCATTATATACAACACAACGGACCAGCAGCGCGTCGTCAAGCTAGCCGAGCGCGCAAAGCAGGTGCTGGCGAATGAACGCGAGGCCGAGATGTCGGGGGCCCTGCGGGAGCTGGCGCCGGCCGTCCTCCACTGCGGCGCCGCTGCGCTCCACGGGCCCAGCGGCGGCGTCAGGCACCTGCACTTCCTCATGGTCAACAGCGCCATGCCGTTGGATCGGCGCGTGCGGTTGCTGCGCGACGACAGCCAGGGCAAGCGGCGCGTTTTCCTTTTGGCGGTGCGGAGCTTCGCCCAGGCTGCTGGGCGTGGCGTCTATATGTCCGACCTGAAGCTGGATAACTTGGCCTGGGATTCCGAATGGGAGCGCGTTCTCTTCCTGGACGCGGGCGCCTTCCGCCTGACGGGCGCGCGCAAATTTCCGAGAAAGAGGCAGCTACAGAGCTTCTTGGCCGCAGCCGAGATTTGTCTTGATTGCCAGACGCTGCTGGAGCTCCACAACCTGCTGTCGCACGGGGAAGACCCTGACATTGTGGCACGTCGGGTTGCCAATGCGCTGAGCCGCGGCTCTCGGCTCGGCTCGGCGCCCGCCCACCTGAACCTGTGGGCGCCGCCCTCGCCCCCCGCGGCGGGCGAGGACCTGCGCGATGAGGCTGTGTCTGAACACACTTCTGGGCAACTCGGTTTGTGGTGGAGACCTGCCCCTAGAAAGAAGCTCTCGAGGGAGCAAGAGGATGTGGCGCGGTCAGTCTTTTTCGACTCGGTAGAAGCCGCCCACCGCGTGCCCGAAATGTACGCCGCGGAATATAACGCTCTCTCTGGCGTCTCCGCTGCCTCTGGCGCGTCCGCTGCCTCTGGCGCGTCCGCCGCTCCTGCTGCTGCAGCTGCTGCGGTCGCTGCTCCTGCGCCAGCTCCTGCGCCAGCTCCTGCGCCAGCTCCTGCGCCAGCTCCTGCGCCACTCCCGCCGCCTGCTCCTGCGCCGGCCAGCGTGAGCGGCGGCGGCCGCGCCGCTACACCACCAAGACCAGTCGCGCCGTGGCCTGCGCCGCTGGCGTGGCCGCCGCAGGCGGCGCCGAAGGTTAACGCGAAGAAGGCGCCGCTTCTTCCGCTGCATGAGAAGGCGGCGCCGCCGCCTGCCACGACTTCAAAGAAGAACAGCGCCGCTGCCCCTGGCGCGCGCGGAGAAAAGCCACCCGTTGTTCTGGCTACGCATGCATGGGTGAGGGCCAGCTCGCCGCCGCCGCCGCCGGCCGCCAGCTGGCCAGCAGATTCGGCGACGACGCGGCCTCAATTGCGGCCGCCGCCGCCGCGCCATCCTCCCCGAGACGTGCCAGAGCCGACGCCGCCAGGGCAGCTTCCCCTGACTCTCGCGCCTGCCCCTGCCGCCGCGCCGCTCCTGCCTGCCTCTGGCGGCTATCCGGCGCCTTCGGCAGCGACGGCCTTGGGCCCGCTGCCTTGGCATCCGCCTGCCTTGGCCAGTGCGATCGCGGCGCCTCCGCCTGCCTTGGCCAGTGCGATCGCGGCGCCTCCACCCGCTGCAACAGGGAGCGCGCTTCCGCCCCCTCCAGCTCCTGAGCTGGGCAGCACGTCTTTCGACGAGGGCGTCGACGGCGACGCAGGCGAGGAGACCGCGCGATGCGACGGGGGAGACAACCCGAGCCCTCCGAAGGGCGGCGGAGCAAAATGCGTTCCAGAAGCATGCAGAGACCGACCGAGGAGGATGTTGCTTCCTCTAGCTCACCAGAGGACGAGCGGGAGGATGCTGCCTCTGGCGCACCCGAGTATGCTGTCTCTGGCGCAACAGAGGAAGTGTTCCTGACGACTCGTCTCTCTGAGAGGAAGCGCAGACGAGTGCCCGACGAACGCAAGGCCGAGCTTCGCAGCGTCGTCCGAACGCGTGCCAGGCAGCAGCACTTCGTCGACAACAAGGAGCGTAGGGAAACCGACGCCCAAGCTCGCATCCGAGACTGGCAGATGCCGCAGCTCGAGGACCGAAACGCCTTCCGCACGCAGAGAAAGCTCGGCTTTTGGTGCGACCCGATCCCTACATGGAGGCAGTTTCTCGAAGGCGCCCCCCACCGAAACGACAACCCAAATGACGCAGGGCAGCTGTGGCCCGTCGTGCGCGCGCTGGCCCCCAACAAGCAACACTACAGGCGGCGGCTGTGGCAGGAGCTGTGGGGCCCTGACGCTGCCCCTGGCGCGCCCTTCGCCGAGGCATGCCCGAATGCCGTGCTCGGCGACGGGTGGGTGGCGCTGGCGCCAGACGCCTTCGAGGCATCGATGCGCAAAGCAGGGGTTCCCGACGACGAGTCCTGCGTCAAGCACATCCTCGAGAAGCACAGCGGCGAGGCGCGGCGCTGGGGGGGGCGCGGGTGGAGGGGCGTGCCTTCTGAATTCGTGGGCAATCTCTGCCGCGTCAGGTTCTGGCATCACCAGTGCGCCACGAGCGAAAAGGCGCGTGATTACCTGGCCTGGAAGAACGCTGGCAGGGATACGGACTTCCTGCCTCTGGCGGAGATGAAGTGGATCCTGGGCGTGGATGGTGGCGAGACCGCGCATCTGAAGTGCGTCGAAGACGACTCTGCCTCTGGCGAGACGTGGTACATCAGGACAGAACAGCTCGTGACGCTGGCGGAGATGTTCAGCTACGGGCGCCGCCTTTGCTCGTGCCACTTCCTGTGCACGTTGTACCTCCGACAACCGACATTCGCGACGAGGAAGGAGCACAGCGAGTCGCAGACGGCGGGGGTACTCTCAAGAAGAATGCTCGGCGCCTGCGCAATCAGGAGACAGGGCGCTGGGGCCTGCCCCGGCGGCGAAGGTGAGGGCGCGGTGCTGCTGAGTAGCTGCCTCTGGCGCTTCTTTCCTTACAGAACCCTCTGAAGAGCTGCCTCTGGCGCTTGCTGACTTTTGCGCGCAGCGCGTCGCTGCTTTCGCGGCTGCCCGTCGGCCGCGCTTCCGCGCAGGGGCACGCTTGCCTGCGCGCGGGCAAGGGCGGCGGCGAGTTCGATCCGTCGCGGATTTCCCGCAACAAGTTGTGGTGGCGCGACGAGCGCGCGTTCGAGACGTTCAACGAGCTTTTGGCGCCTGCGGGGCTGAAGGATTTCCTCGACAGACACTCCGACGAATTCGCCTGGCGCGAGAAGGCCGACAACAAAGGCATGCTCATCGCATGGGCGAACTGGGCGCGGCAGGAGGAGCGCGTCCCGCCATGGGCGCGCCCCGCCATGGGCGAAGTGGGCGCAGGCACCGCCTCTGGCGCGCCCCGCCGTGGCGAGCGCGCCCCAGAACGAAGTCGCCTCAGGAAGCGGCCTGAAGCGGCCGAAGGGCGCCCGCCAACTGACCGCCCTCAGGAAGCGGCCTCTGGAAGCGGCCAGAATGCACTGCCTCTGGCGTGCCCCGACAATTCACCGCCCTCAGGAAGCGGGCAGAATAAGAGCAACCCTTGGGAAGACCTTCGCCGGGAGATGATTGCCCGAGACACTGCCTCTGGCGTGGCCGAGTCACTGCCTCTGGCGCGCCCGTGACGCCGCCTCTGGCGCGCCTTCTGAGGCCAAGGCGGTGTCGCGGCAGCTGGCGCCGCGACACTTGCAAGCGGAAAAACCAGTCGTCGTCATCACCACCATCGTAGTCGCCATCATGACCACCGACATCATCAGCGCAATTAGCGACACCATGACCGCCGACATCATGACCATCGTCGTCATGACCACCGTCATCATGACCACCGACATCATGACCATCGTCATCATGACCACCGACATCAATGGCATCATCAGCGCCACCGTCATCATCCTCATCATCATCATCATCATCATCATCATCATCATCGTCATCATTACCATCATCACGCCAAGTTCGCATCGTATTAGCGCTGCGGATCCTTAATATAATGTTCGACCCCTTGGTGGACCAGGCAGCTGGCACGGCGCGCAGCACGAGGCTGCGCGCCTTTCCGGCACGCTCGCTGGCCCATCGGCCACCATCAAAGCAAAACCGAAAGCGCAGCCAAAAGAAGTGGCCGCTTGCATGCAAAAGTGTAGCCTCCCGGGGCGAACGCCGGGCCGCTTCGGCGAGCTCGCCGACGCGCGGCAGCCGCCGTGCTGCCGCGTGCGAAGGCGGCGCTGCGCACCGAGTAAGAAGCAAATCGCGGAAAAGGGAAGAGGCCCAGGTTGGCGGCCGCGCGGCCGCCCAGGACGCGGGCGCCCAGGGCGCGGGCGCTCAGGAGGAGTCGTTGGGCTCCTCCTCGGGGCCCCGGGAGTCCAGTGCCAGCCATTTCCCGGCTCGCGGCCCCCAAGCTGGGGCCGCGTCCGGCGCCTGAGGGAGGCGAGTCCAGGGGCAGCCCGTTGCCCGGGTCACCGCCCCAGGAGGCGCGGGGGGCAGTGTCCGACGCCTGACAGACGCGGGACCGGGCGCACGGGGGAGAGGGGGTGGGGCTCTGCGTTGCACACGCAGAAGTGGCGCCAGAGGCGCAGAGAGCAAAACGCCCGAAGTGGACAAGTGCATGCCCCCTTCAGCGAATTGCGATGCCGCGCTCCACGCGGCCCAAGCTTCGGGACCCTGGCCAAGCTTGGGCTGGGAATGGGGACCTGGCCCCACACTACCCCAGCGCTCCTAGTGGCCTAACCCCTCGCCACGCCGGGGACGTTGGCAGCTCAGCGCTGCCCGTCTGCTGAGCTCCTCCCTCGCAGGTGCCGGGAGCTCTTGCCCTCCTTCGCCTTGCCGCTCCTCTGCTTGCCTTCGCCATCGCCCCCCTTGCTGCCCTTGGCAGCTGCCCTGCGGCTCGCTTACGCGCGCTTGCCACCGCGCGGTGCGTAGAATGACCCGTCGGGCTTCCTCTTGCAGCCCTTGGGGGTCGGCCGCTGGCGGGGGATGGAGCGGCTGCGCCTCCGCGGGGACCGCGCCGCGCGGTCGTCCCGCTCGCGCGGGGACCAGATGCCGGGGGCCAGTCTGGGGCCGCCGCTGGCTGCCCGTCCTCGCTGGCCTCCTGCTTCGCGCGCAGCGGCTTCTTGCTCTCCTCCTCGTCCTCCTCCTCCTCCTCCTCCTCCTCCTCCTCTGCGCCCCGCTCGAAGGGACCGTCTAGGCCGATGTCGTCCACGGCCTCCTGCTCCTCCTCGCTGGCCTTGCTCTCCTCCTCGTCCTCCTCCTCGCCATCCTGGCCGGAGTCGCCCGGCTGGGCCCGCGCCGCCGCTTCCTCCGCCGTGAGCTTGCAGTAGTTGCACAGCGAGAGGTCGCAGCTTTTGCAGTACCACCGCAGCGTCCCGGCGTTCGCCTCGCGCCCTTTGCAGTCGGGCGACCCCATGCTGGGTGCGGATCCAGTCCCGCCCCAGGCACCGGCATGTGCTCCAGCGCATCGGCTTCCCGCGCGACTCGCAGTCCGGGTACTCCGGCATCGTCTCCCCCTCACCGTCCGAGCTTGCACCCGCCGCGGGCGTTTCAGAATTCTTAAGCCCACTGCGCCACGACCTTCTAGTCGTCACTCTCGAAGAAGCGGCACCCCGTGCGCAGCGCTCCCAACGCGCGCTGCGCGTCCTCGTGGAGCTCGAGCTCGCGCGGCACCATGGGCCCCCTCTTCCACCGCGCATCGTAGACGAACGCCGCGTGGACCACCGCCCCGCAGGACGTGAACAACTCCCCGAGGCTGCCCATCCTGACCTTGCCCGGGACCCGGGGCGGCCTGATCGCTGGCTCCCCCGAGCTCGCGCTGGCACTCCTCCGACACCGGCTGCGGGCGCGGGACAGCGGCCTGGCAACGCCCGTCGTGCCCGCGCGGCAGGCCGCCATCTCCTCCTCGGGGCGATCGCGCCTGGGCGCTCTCGCGCCTGGGCCTCCGGCGGGGGGGGAACCTCCACGTCGCCACGGCTCCTCCTGTCCCCTGGCCCCCACCTGCGCGCCTCCCGTGGCGCGCGCCTCGGAACCCGACGGCTGGCCTCGCGGGCCTCGCGCGGCGGGGCCACCTCGGGCGCCCTGCCGGGCGCGGGGCCGGGGCCCCCGCCCTCTCCTCCGCCGCGGCCGGCCCCTGTGGCCTCGCCCGCCCTCTGCTGGGCCGGCGCTGGGCTCGCCGTCCTCGGCAAGCGGAGTGGCGCCAGGGCCCAGGGCGTTCTGGGGACCCGCTTGCGCCACTGCCCGCGCCAACTTCGCGTCGACTGGGTTGCTCGCCTCCTCCTCCTCCTCCTCCTCCTCCTCCTCCTCCTCCTCCTCCTCCTCCTCCTCCTCCTCCTCCTCCTCCTCTGCGCCCCGCTCGAAGGGGCCGTCTGGGCTGATGTCGTCCACGACCTCGGGGTTGAAGCTGGCCGCCAGCTCCCACAGGCCGGGGGTTGCGCTTCAACATGCGACGGCGGGAGCCCAGATCCGCGCCCGTGAACAGCCCTACGGCTAGCGCCAGCTTCGCCGACCTCCTCTGCTCCTTGCCGTTGCCCGCGAACCACGCCGCCCGTATCGCGCGGTTCCCGTCCACGAGGTAGCAGGCCCCACAGTCCTCGGGCCCGCCGGCTGCCACGCGGGCGAGCGGCTCGCCCCGCGCGCGGCGCCAGCTCGCGATCCGGGTCGCCCAGCTCCACCATGTCGTCCTTGATGTCCATGTTCTCCCCGAGCAGTTCCTGCAGCAGCACGTGCGCGTAGGGGGGCAGCTCGCGCGTCTCCCTGGCCACCACCAGTACCCCCACTGCGGCCACCTGCGCGATCATCTTGTCGTGGCTGCCCAGGCTGCCTCCTGCCGGAGCCACTGGCGTCACTGCCGCGATGGCGACCATCGCCGCGGCTCCGCCCGACTGGACTGGGCTCGCCTCGGGCCCGTCGCCCGTGTCCTCGCGAGCCCGAAACGGCTGCGGCACGGCGTGCACTGGGGAAGCAGAGGATGAGGGCGACGGAGTTGGCGATAGCACCACCTGTATCCCTCCGCACCTGGACCCGACGCTCCACGACTTGTTGTCCGACTCCGGGTGTCTGCGGGACCGACGCGACTGAGGACGACCACGTGCTGCCCACTCTCCCCCGTAGCTGACGATGACGACGGGATACTTTGCGACTCGATCGGGCACGACAACGACGCTACTACGTGCGACTCGCCGTCGATGCACATGCCACAACGCCGGCCTGGCCTTGCCCAAGGCGGACGGCCGGGTGCCAACGACGACCGGGCGGACGGGCACGGGAAGTCGTCGTCCTCCCTACGCTCCGCCTCCCCACGCTCCACGCTGCGTTCGCCGAGGTCGGCTGCGCCCCTCGCGTCGGGTGCCAGGAGAGCGCGGCCTTGAGCCATGCCCTCTGCGAAGGACTGTTGTCTCCGTTGGTCCTCCCACAGATAGCCGTGGAAGGCGCCCGTCGTCCAGCGACCGAAGCGCTCGACCGCTTCCAAGTCGCGGGCGGGCGCGGCAGAGGGCCGTCGCTCCCCCCACGCGGAGGGGGCGCGACCCCAGTTCGGTCCCCTTCTGCCCCGCGCGCCGGCGTGGCCAGCCGCAGTGGCCCCTGCACCTCGCCTCGCGTCACTGCACGGCCACTCGCGTGCCGAAAAAAGGGGAGGCCCGGTTCGAGGCCGCGCTCAAACCGTTGAGGGCACTCACGGCGCAGCTCAGCCAGCGCGCTCAGCACGCACAGCGGGCGCTCCGAGCGGAAGTGGTTGCGGTGACATCCCGCGTCGCATTGGTCCGTCTTGGTGGACGTGATCGTCAGTGCGATCTCGTCGCAGCTGCCCGGCCACCCCTCCGGGGATCCGTTCCGTAGGCCCTGGATGTCGATTCCATGTGCGACGCAGTCCAGGCTCCAGGACTTGTCGGGCTGCACCAAGTACTCCGACGCTCTCAGCATGAATAAATATCCGGTCACCAGGGCCCCCCACCAGAGAACCACAGCCTCGGCTCGAGGCTCGGCCCCAGGGCTGAAGAAGCATTCTTTAAGCCACATCAGCATCCGCGGGGTTGCGGGCAGCTTCCGCCTCACCTTGCCACCCCAGCGTCGTAAGCCCTCCATCGTGGTCCACAGACGCCGACGGTCCGCGGTGACGCCCCCAAACCCGGCCAACGCATGGCAAACAGCTTCTGACGGATGGTGCGTCGTACAGAAACACCACGAAGCGTATCAAGTCGTCCTCATCGGCCAGCCTCTCCTCCCGCGTCTCCCCCTGCAGGTGCGGGCTGTTGTCCTTCAGCTACCTCCATAGCAGCCAGCTCCTCCATCCGGCCTGGTAGGTAGCACGGGCCCCCTCGGCTAACTTCGCCAACGTCGCCTCCGTCGCCAC